TCCCAATCAAAAGACACAGAACAGCAGGTTTTACCAAAAGATAAAGTGCAACCATACATTGCCCACAGGAGACACACCTCACACAAAAGTAAGAACATGAAAAACAATCCCAGCGACAATAGGCTCACAAAGTTAAATAGCTAGGAATTAACCTTACCGAGGAAGTGAAAGAATTCTGCAACAGAAACTATAGTACTCTGCAAAAAGAGACTGAAAGGATAATGGAAGATGGAAAGCCAATGTCTGTTTTCCTTGATAGGCAGAGTTAATATTTTCAAAATGGCTATATTACCAAAAATGATATATAGATTTAATTCAATCCCAACCAAAATACCAACAGTAGTCTTCACAGAACTAGGAAAAATACCTTAAAATTTACATAGAACCAGCAGAGACCCAGAATTAAAAAAGCAATCTTGGGCAACAAGAGCAAAGTGTGAAGCATCACAGTCCTGAATTTCAAGCTATATTACAAAGCTACAATGATGAAAACAGTATTTTACTGACATACAAACAGATTTATGGATCAATGGATAGATATGAAAATGCAGAAACAATCCCAAGCACATTCAGCCATCTGATCTTCAACACAGAGTTCAACAATATATATTAGAGTAAAGTTAGATTTTCTTTTTAAAGGCTGCTAAGAAATCTGGCTATCCACACACAGAACAGTGAATACAGACCCATAGCTCTCATTCTGTACTAAAATCAAATAAAAACCTGTCAAAGATCTGGATGTACAAATAGAAACATTTTCTTTACTGAGAGACAAAATAAGCAAAATTCTTGAAGACATAGGCACAAAATCTTTCAGAACCCCTACTACACAAGAAGTGAACCAACAATCAACAAATGGAGTCATATCAAACTAAAAAGCTTCTGCATTGCAAAGGAAATAAGCAATAGAGTGAAGAGACAATCTATAGAGTAGAAAACTACTTTACCAGCTACTCCACAGAGGGCTAATATCTAAAACATATATTTTACATTGTCATTTCTTCTTTTTTATTTTAAAGAGAGGAAAAACTGATAAAAATGACACAGAATTTCAGAATAAGATGATAGGAAATTAACAATGGTTATTATGTTGTATATTATTATCTTCAAAGTAGTTGCTCAGATTATAAGATATAAGCAGGTAAAATTGATCAAACAATATAAGCACTGTTACTTTCAATGAACTAATAGAAATTAGTAGTACAACTATCTTAGCCATCTTGTGTGTGTGTGTGTGTATATATATATACATGCATATATATATATATATATATATATATATATATATATATATATATATATATATATATATATATATATATATAAAATTTTCCCTTCCTTCTTTCTCCTTTCCCCCATCTCAGTTGTTCTTTCTTTTTGTGCAATTTCTTTCCCTTTCACAATATCTATTGTATCTTTTGGATCTTATTTACTCTTTCAGTTTTTTACACTAGGGAGACAATATGCTCTTAACATATGCCAGTCTGATTTATTTCACTAGTGAGTATGGTCTCTAGTTGCATCCCCTTACCTGTAAAAGCTTTGAGTTTATCTTTCTTTATAGCTGAGTAATACTCCCTTGTATAAAAATACCACCTCTTTTTTATCCATTCTTTATTTGATGGGCCTTTGGGTTGTTTCCAAGGTTTAGCTATGACAAATTGTGCTGCTATGAACATGGGGGCACATATATCGCCATAGTATGAGAACAGACAAAGAATGTTAAGTATCACATGTTTTCTCTTATATGAGAAAACCAAAGTGTAAGTAATTTAAAATGCAGACTAAAAGAAAGATAATAGAAAGAGGAAAGCAATCTTTGTATAGATGGGAAGAGATTTGGGGTTAGGAGGGAATAAGATGAAGGGGAAAGGAAGTAAAAGGATCAAGATGTGACATGTCTCCATACCAAAACCCCATGGTGAATATGCTCATTATATATTACAAACATCTCCTAATAAACACACTACTGTATAAGGGTTAAAAAAGATTTTATTGGGGCCAGGGATATAGCTCAGTGGAACAAATGCCTGTCTGGCAAGCACAAGGTCCTGAGTTTGATTCCTGGTACTGCAAAAAAAAAAAAAAGATTTATTAAGTCTAACATACAAGCAAACCAAAACCCAAACAATTCCCCTGCAGTGATTTGGCCCCCAAGAAGCAGGAGGCTTGACCCCAGCAGGTGCTTATGCATTCACATTTCACCCTGATTTTCACATATAGGAGTGGAGGATGGTGTAACGCAGGCTTCAGAGGCTCAAAGAAGCCTCTTCAGCCTCTTACACTGAAGAGGGCCCAGAGGAATATTACAGTTTGTGTCACCTCTCAAAGAAGGTGAGATCATTTAGACCATGGAATCATCATGCATTAACAAAAGCTATTTTACATTCAGATTGCTTCTTTTAGTCCTATGCAAGATGTTAATTCCACAACATGAGGATCACCTCTCAAAGTTTACTCACTACAGTGGTACTCAAAATCAGCTCTTGAGCTGCAACAGTACCCTCAAGAGTGCATGCTGTGTTTGTTTTTTAAGTTCAAGTATATTTTTAAATCCTCCTTTCTTCTCCATTTACAGGATGATGAATCTTAAATATTGGCATCAGAATCACACTGCCATCTCCCAACAGCACAAGAGGCTGTAGTTGCCGGTTGGGGGTGGAACTAGCAGACTTGCACCCTGACAAGAGTCTAGGAGGCACTATGCTTCTGACCACGATCCCACTTTAGCAAACCCTGGCCATTACTTCTCTCTTTTTTGTTTCACCAGGACTTAACCTGCCTAAGGTTGATTGTACAATGTTACATTGCCTCTTCATCACAGTTCTATTAATTGTATGGTGCACTTAGCAGCAATTAAGGTCCCTTAGATCAACCTTCATAATGATTTTGCTGTGAAATTGAGCTATTTAGAATTCCCTGAGCATATCAACAGATTTTTCACACTTTAAACTGAAGCTTTTTTGATGTAGAGAACTGAGCCCTCCTAAAGCAATTTTAATCAGTCATTTTTATCTGTCACTATACTGATGCAAGAAATAAGCATTTATATGGGGGATAGAGCTCAGCGGCACAGCACTTGTGAGCATTAGAATAATTCGGTATGAATCCTAATTAAAAAGATAGCCAATAATCGCACCAAAACTCTTCCTGTTATTTAGTATTTATCGTTATTTCTAGGAAAGGCCAATCAAGAGATATTTTTGGTGCTGGTTTCGCTTACAGCAGAAGAAATGGAGTTGATCTGCAACCTGTCTCCTGCTCTTTTTTTTTTTTTTTTTCTCCGGTACCGGGAACCGAACTCACGACCTTGCGCTTGCCAGGCAGGCGCTTTTGCCGCTGAGCTAAATCCCCAGCCCCTTCCTGCTCTTTTGATTAACCTCAGCCTGGGACTAGAGCTGACTGGGCTCTGTGACTATTCTGTGGCCACAGGTCAACATTAGTCACAGATGATCTAGTGAGCCCTAGTAAACTTTACCTTGGATGCTTTTCCTCCTCCAAAATAAACTTAGAGGAATCCTATCTAGTAGAAGATACTATGATGCTATGCCCTACCCTGTTTACTCTGTGGAGCTTTGCAAATGTAAGGCAGTTGTCCAAAATATCTGGATGTATTAATAACTATTACTGCAGGAAGGTATTTCAGTGGAGGATGCACTGTGTACATTGAATTGATTGGAAATCTAGTGATGAAATATTCAGAAAATTCAACATACAGAACAGCAGTGGCCTTCTGGAAGTCCGTGAATCTCTTCATTTTCTTGTACCTTAAGGATTATGCTTTGACAGCCTTCTAGAAAAGGTTATTAGTAAAATATATTGAGAAGGTGAGAGTCGGGGATCTTCATGACATACCTACTGTGTGCAGGGTGTTTCCCTGGTGATGTGCCCCTCCCTCCTCACAGTCACCCCTCTGGGTGTGTATTAATATTTCTCCTTGGCTCGGCTTGGGTTTCACCAAAAGGGACTGTGAGATGAGTATCTGAACATAAGGGATTTTATTTGAGAGGGAGAAGCGTGCCGCCAAGGGGTGGGGACATGGGATTGGAGGGAAAGCAGTGTAGACTGTCAACCAGCTCACACTGTGGTCCTCTGAAACCTGCAAAGTTGGACATGAGGAATCCCACCAGAGAAAAGGGATTCCAAGGATTTATGCAACATTTCTTACAAGTTGAGAGCTGCTCCTCCACGGGGCGTTGATTCCATAATACTTAGTGTGCCTTGTGAAGGGAAATAAATGCATGCCCCACACTGAAGAGCAAGTTCTCACCCATGTGCAGGCAGTAGGGGAACAGCTCAAAGTGGAGCCTCCCAGACTGAAACCCAGGCCTGACTGGTGACACAGCCATTGCTCTCAGTCATGTCTGAACAATTCAAATCTTCCCTAAGATTTCCAGGTTTGAGTGAATTTTAGGTTGACAGCATGCATTGCATTTTGGAATGGAACTCCTTTAGATCTTCCGTAGAGCCAGTGAAGACTCCTTAACAATGAGCAGTAAAAGTGGCCTTCATGTCTGTGTGAAAGCCAAATGCTTATCCCTAGCCGAATTTCATATTGTGTAGCAGCTCTGTGTTTACTGGATACTTCACTGACTTTGGAAGCTCTTTTTCACTTGATAATCTAAATGTGGAGGGCAAAGGAGAGGTTAGCTCATTCCAGGTACCAGGCAAAGAGCAAAGGCATCTCTATGTGGAAGAATGAGACTTCGGTAGAACTGAACCAAGAGCGATTTCATGTAAGTACTGCTTAAGTCTTTATGTTTGCCTCATCCCTCTACTTTTTCAATGTGACAGACACTTGACCGCCTCCAGCTCTTTCCCTAACCCCCATTTGTTGTGATTAGGTGGCCTTTGGCAGAAAGCCTTCAAATGAAGTCTCAAAGTCTCAGCATATAATGTTTACTCACTTTATGCAAGCGACAGGGAACTAAATATGAACTTTGGTAAAAGCCTATTAATAATTGATGAATAACGGGATTATCAGGGAGCAGAAGGCAGCATGTAAAACAAAAACCCACAACACTTAAGGTCTCAATAATCTATGAAAATGTTTCCGCGGCTAGTTTGTGTCAATGACTATGAACAGCATGCTAAATCAGTCCTTCAAAAGTCTGTCTATGACTATTACAGGTCTGGGGCAAATGATCAGGAAACCTTGGCCGATAATATTGCAGCATTTTCCAGGTAAGCAAAGATATTATTAAAATTTGTATTTAATATTATACAAAGTCATTGCATCAAAATAAGAGCCAGGTTTGTGCTGATGGTGTGGAATTATTTTCTTCCAGATCTGTGTTTAACCAAGAGAGGAAAATTCCTAAAAGATGCGAGAAGCCTTAGGTTCTTACATTGTTCAAAAATATTCCAAGCCTTGGACAAGCATGAAATATTGACCATAAAATGAACTTGAAATTTCATCATCATATTTAGCTTACACATAAAAATAGCTATAAATTCTAATGACTCTTCTTTTTCTCTGACAGTGGGTGCTCCTGCTCCGGGTGCAGGAAACTGTTAGTGCAAGATAGCCATCTTATCTGATTGAACTACATAGACCGATTGCCTCAAACACTCCCATCCTGTTGGCTTCCTGTGTTGTCATTCATATTAATTACTGTTGTCTAAACTTTCCCTTTAGATTTCAATTTGTCTATGGAGCATTAATCTTTCAATGTAGCTGTTTCATCTTTCCTCCAAAGCGCTTCATCTCTTGTCCAAATTAGTTTTCCCTTGACTTTCATATTTCAAGGCACAAGATGGTGGGTGTCATGGGTTTATGTTTTCTGTTTGTAATAAAAAACAAGAAATAAACTTGAAAGGGCATTCTTCTCCCAGCAGATAGAAAAATGGTTATTTGTCGTAGTATGGGAGGAGAGTGTTCTATACACTGCACCCTTTTCGGCTCTATCCATTTTCCATTATGTCCTTTGATAAAGGCAGCAAGCATTGTAGCTACTCTTTGATGACGACAAGTTAAAAAAAAAAGCACAGAATATCTAGAGAGAAAGAATTTCCTTTTCTTTTGATTTTTTCCTTTAATCTGGAGCAAAATTACCACAGTCACTTTTCTATATACAAATGAGGAGAAATGAAATCACTGTAACAAAGGTGGTCCATGGTTCACTCCTCAGTCAGTGCAGGAGCTGGAGAAGGCTGACAGGTAGAGGTCGGGCTCTCTCTCCAACCCTTGTCACCATTGACTCAGGAGCTCCCTGAAACCCACATGAACTCAACAAATGCCAGAAGTCATGGGAGGGGAATCTGATTAAGAATGGAGAGTTCTGAAATTATGCAGGTTCTTTTCCCATTATTGTTTAGTATGTTGGGCCCCGTCCAAGGTTTTGCTCTTGGGAGATGCCCTTTCTCAGGCCTACGTCAGTTCTGTGCACTGGGTAATGTGATGTGTGTCTGAGTGATCTCCTGAAAACTATCCTTTCATCCAAATCATCCACTATAACCAAAGAAATTGCAAGTTCTTTACAGGTATGGGGCTGGTAACTCAGCATTGCTCCTGGTGACAGCCTATTCCATTTTTATTCAGCCTTCAGCCCCTCCATCGGGTTCTGGATATTCAGTAATTAACTTATGCTTATTGCAGTCTCCACAGGTGAGACTCTGGGCTTCCAACAAGCTTAGGACCAAGCAGTGAGCCACAGGGAAAGTTCTTGCCCTCAGGAGTTTACATTCCAGTGGATCTTTGGTGTCCTTAATGCTGGTGGGCTGAATTGATGCTCCCAGAGGAGCACTCAGAGAAAGAGCAAAGAGGAACAGAAGAGCAGATGGGCCACCTTTGTAACCTAGAAATTCTGCAAACTTACTGAAGCACGGAAGGCTGGTGGCATCCAAGTCGTGACCCTGGAAAGTGTTGGTGGCTAATGTGAATTAGACCGCATTGTGGTGAATACCATATTACCATTCTACATATGACAGAGTAATGTAGGGGCAGAACACGGATAATGGCAATTAGTTTGCAATGCCCTCTTTCCCATGAAAGCTTATCATCCTTGTTTTTTCAGTTTTAAGGAAAAATAAGTTATTTATCAACTACAGAGGACTGTTGGTGTTCTTTTTATTATCAAGTACTTGAGTTTGATTGATCAAATAGGACTGGTTATCTATCTAGAATCTCGGTTCCTTTTTTTGCTGTGTGACTTGCTGGGGGGCTTGATGCCTTGCCTTGTATCATCTAGCTGGTCTCATGGGATAAGAATAGATTTTTCTATCCGGAGTGTGGCTTTGGGTGGATAGCATGAGGGAGATCATCCTGAACTTTTTTCATTCCAATTCACATAAAGACAGCAAAACAACCAAGCTTCACATAACTCACTGTGACATGAGGTCAGGGCATTTCAAAGACACTGATGAAATTTATACACCTCCCCCCACCACAAGTACAACAAAAGGTCATTCTCAGTGACAGCTTTTATCTCTCTGTACTCTGATCTGAGGACCACATTCTAGAGTTCTGGAGATATGGGCCACTCATGTGACCCAGCATTTGCTTGAAGATCTTTCTGGGTAAGACTTGAGATTCTAATATTATTATGACAAAAAATTATACAAAGACAAACAAATGGAACCACCCAGGAGAATGCAGTTTCCTACTGCAAATATGACAAGGACAGGGCAGATGTTAGCTTGTCACCGTTTTCAGGGCCTGACCTGATCGGGATTAATTCAAAAAAGACCAAACAAAACAGTATATCGATTCTTTTACACATTAATTTAGAGTAGCCTTCTTACCCATGCTCCGTATGTATTTTATAGGTTTTGGGGAAATTATAATGGATATGAAATAATTCTACAATTTGGGTACTTAGAAGCCCTCATAACTTCAGAAATGGAGCCTCTTCTTTTTCTTATTGTGGTATTTACTGACCCTGAAAATTGTGTGATTCTCTTTTCAATAACTAATGGGTAAAAGTGATATCACCTCCACTTCAATATTTGGGAAGCAATATAAACTTATTGCATTTCTAGTATTCTTCTGCTATGCATAAGTGTTACAAAATCTATCAGATAGTATCATAAATTATTTTTTGCAGGATGTTTTAAATTTTTAAAATAGAGAAGTAAGGTGAAGAATTTGGGATGCAGTGTGGCATGACAGTATTTTAGGACTTATGAAACTTGAATTCACTGTGGACAGTTGATGTGATCTGTAACCATGCAGCCTTAAAGAGGTGACTCCTAAGTACCTTTAAAGAACAGCCACTTCTTGGGGAGCTTGTATATCTCTTGATTTTTTGATAAGTTAAATTGGAGGCCCTTATTGGATGTAAAGTGGGGTCCTAAAGTCTTATTAAAGCTTTGTTATCTTTACCCTGTTTCCTTCACTCAGACATCTAATTTTCTTTTTTTAATTGTTTTTAAATTTGAAAGCAAAAGAACAAAAAACAGAAATGATATAAAATTCCAAACAAGATGATAGGAAATTAATAATCTTTATTATGTTGCATATTGCTATCTTCAGAGTAGTTGCTCAGATTACCAGCTATAGGCATGCAAAATTGATGAAACGACATAAACACTAACTGTTTCTTTCAATGAACTAATAGAAATTAGTACTACAATTATCTTAGCTATTTTGAGAAAACTTATTTTCTATCCTTTGCACAAGGGTTGATTATTCAGTTGGTCCATCTGTTTTGTCCATCTTTACAGCCTTTTTCTAAAGTGGGGGCCCTATTAGAGCACAGTGTAAGTTTGTAGTGAAACACTATTTGGTGTATGCTTGTGGGAACAGTCATTTAACTTCAAGGTACACTAGGGTGGGATTTGGAAAGCTTTTGGAACTGACAAGCAGAGTTTTATTATGCTATTTGGAAAATTTTAAAAAGTGGAAGACTCTTTAGAGGCCATACATTCCCCCACTCCATTGGCTTTATCTAATTTTGCCCAGGAATTGCATTTTTGCGTTGGTGGAATAGTCTCTGTAAATATACTCAAGATCAGAAAATAGTCTTCATGGAGAAGCAAGAGCCTACCGTTATTAAGGTCACTGCGCCACCAAGTGGGCAAGTATAAAGCTGTGTGGAGATCGGAGGATGGAGTCTTGCTTTATAAATGGGGACATGTCCTTTAAAAAGGTCGCTTTTGCCAAACTCTCTCTCTCTCTCTCTCTCTCTCTCTCTCTCTCACACACACACACACACACACACACACACACACACTCACACAGCTGATGCCCTGAAGCGCTGAGCGTTCCCTCTGTAAAAGCTTTCATTGTTCCTCCAGCTCCAAGTAAATATTAATGCCTTCCAAGGCTGCCATGCCAATGGCTGCTATTAAAACCTTTCTCTCTCATTCTGAGAACACACTTAGAGATTATGCATCATAAAAAATACCCTCCCTTCAAGGATTCTGCCTCTCCCCCTCCAAAGCGGAGATCAAAGGATCATGCTGTGAGGGTTAGTGAAGAAGAAAAGGCTCCCTGCAACAGAGCGTGTGGTGCGATGTAAAATAATGACAATCATGATGTTCAAAGGAATGGCATAGAATCACACAGTAAAACTCCTTTATTATGCTTTCCAGGGACTGGATGTTTTTATTTTATTATGTGAGGAAGGGTTAGATGCAGACTCTTAACTAATTCACAAAGCAACATTTAATGCAGAGTTTCTTCTGCTACAGGGAGTATGTTTCCACTAGGAACCCTTTGCTTGGATACCCCATGACTAAATCTCACTTCACCATATTTACTTTAAAATCTAAAGCTCTCTGGAAGCAGAGTTGAATCTAGGAAGTGGCCAGTGAGTGCTGGTCGGGTGTGTATGTGTCTATTCAATGCACTTATTATACAATGGTCATTAAAAGGAAGGCTATATTTTCTTCAGTTTTAATCAGTTACTAAGGAGGAGAGTAATGAACCCAAACAAGTAGAAGATATACACGTTGCTGAGAGGAAAGAGAACCAACTCTCCTGTAAATTTTACTGCTGAACTTTTGATTGTTGGGTTGTTAGTCATTTTCATTACAGTGCAGAAGAATCATAGAGAAAGCCTTTGAAAATAATTTTCAGGAGGGAAAACTCTTTAAGCCAATGCTTTTTCTCTTAAATAACATATTTGATGAAAATATTCAAACAGCTCTGAGATTTTGAAGAAAGTAAATTATAATTTTGAAAACAATTACCTGAAGCTACCATCACAGAAAAGAAGATGAAGTAGATGTAGCATATCTTCCAAAACTCTAACCTCTGTGTCTTTGGATACCATCTTCAAGATGGTCTTGGGGAAGTGAGGATCACGCAAAATCCTGCCTGTGAAAGTTTGCAGTGGCTTTGTTTAGGTCAACTCCAAATTGGAAACAGTTAAAAGATGGCTTTGCTTGGGAATGAATAAACAATCTGTGGTGCCCTATAAGGTGGAATGCAGCTTACAAACCAGGAGGCACAGATTCTTCATATATGCAGCCACATGGCCAGATCTCAAGTGCAATGTAAGAGATGGGTGAAGCCAGATGATCAAGCTTATTTACTGTGTGATTCTATTTATATCATGCTGCAAAGTAAAACTACAAGGTCAAAACACAGATTAGTGATTGTCAGAGGATAGAGGTATGGAGTTTCATTATTAGAAGACATAAGGAAATTTTTTTTTGGGGGGGTGAATGAACTATTCTAGATCTTGATTGTCCTGGCATTTATGCCACCGTGTGCATTTGTGACAATTCACAAAACTACACTCACATGGGTGAATTCTACTGTATATTAATTATAATTTAATAAAAATATTGCCTGGGAAATTCACTATCTTTTTTAGCTTTTAGCTAAGACACACAAAACATTGTATATGTCAATGAGGTACCATGCAATATGCAATATAGATTTATATTGTATAATGTTCATTGTCATCTGATTGTTAATTTTCCATCTTAACAAGCATTAAAATACCTCTCTAACCTTTAAAGTAACTTTCCTGATGAATACTATATTTTCTCTTTAATTAAAATGTAATGCCAGACTTTTCGTTATGCTTTTGAAATTATAAAACTTTTTTTGCAATTCCAGGTGGAAGCTGTATCCGCGGATACTCCGGAATGTTGCTGAGGTCGACCTCTCCACTTCTGTTTTAGGACAGAGGGTCAGCATGCCTATCTGTGCTGGAGCGACTGCCATGCAGTGCATGGCTCATGTGGATGGGGAGCTTGCAACCGTGCGAGGTAGGAGGAGGGCTCTTGCACAGGGAAAGAAGAGAACAGCAGCTCCCTCTCTGTGTGCATCAAGCAAATATCTCCTTGATGTATCTACACTCAGAAAAGTTCAACTCATTGGTTCTTCCATCCAAATGCCTGTTCTTGCACATCCTGCTCTTTTGTGGTCTAGTTGTGTGGAGCTCTGGGCAAGACACTCTCTCTGTGCCTTGGTTCCTTGACTGCCAAATGGGGATAAAAGTAATATCAGCCTCATTAGCTTATTGTAAGGATTGTGTAAGTCCATGCATGTACAGAGACTGGCACAGAGTCGTGGCTCAATTAATGTTAGTTGTACTACTGATATTAAAGTCAATACATCTCAGGAAACGGAGGTGAGAGAAATGACTCACCCAAGGTACCTAGTTAGCGACAGAAGTGAGATTCAGCCACATTTTACTACACTATTTCAAATCCCTCCTGCTCCCCAAACTAAAGGGGTTGGCACAAGGAAAAAGCAAATTCAGTGACCCATGGTTTTGGATCATGCTTCTTTTTTATGTAAGGGTTACATTCCTGAAAGAGCATTTCCAACTGCTTTAGAAGGGAGTGAAGAGAAAATCAATATGATGTAAAGAAATCTCTTACCATAGCTAATTTATTAACTTTTTAGTTACCTAGCAACAATGAACTCTTGAAAGCCTGTGCACTGATCTCCACAAGTTCTGCTTTAGGAACTCTTTACATATATGTCGGTGATGGATTCTACTTGATGTTTGATGCTAAGCAGGGCAGGAAATGAGGGCCAAAAGGGCATGAACTAAATCTAATGCTAAAGATTGATTTTTATTTTTTATCTTAAAAATTCAAAAAACTAGCAAAACAACAATGAAGACAAAATCAAAACAACAAAAACAATACATGACCTTAAAACAAAATGGTAGGAATTAACAATGGTTGCCACATTACCTACTGTTGTCTTCATTGAAGTTGTTCAGTCCACTTGACATAAGAATGTAAGATTGCACAGTCAAAGACAGTAACAAGTAATAAAAAAACACAACATTGGAAATGATGCAGAGCTTCAACATACAAGGTGGTAGGAGTTCAAGCTAAAGACGTTTGTGAATTCACCTTTCTTCTTGAAATGCAAGCTGCTAGGCAGATCAGAATGGCACAGTGAGGTTACACATGATATACTAAGGCCAGAGTCTGGCGGCATCTTTAAATCTTAGTGGGTGAGGAAGTGGCCTTGGGACTTGGGACATTTGTTCATGATCATCATGAAATACAGGCAGAGAGAACAGTGGGAGGTGCGGAGTGGGTGAGTGTCTACCTAAAGTCAGGATATGATGTCATAACCAACAACCAAGGAAACCAAAGCAACCAAGTGAACATAAAATAGCCAACACTTTGGTGAGCTAAAATTTTCATTAAATCAAAAGCAAATGACAACTTTTTTGAAAGATGGAATTGCAAGAGATTAATGCCCATTCTACTTAAAGGGCCCTTTATGTTTGAGCAAGAAATAACATCATTCCCAGGGAATAAAAAGATATAGAATGAACAAAAGCTATCAATAGGAAATTTAAAAATGGAGACACTAAATTTTAAACAGATGAAAAACTATCTCACTAAGAGCAAAGAAATATAAATCATAATTATATACTTCAATTTTTAAATGTTCATTTGTTATTTTAAGATTATACAGTATGTTGAGTTTAGGGAGAAAATCCCTTTTTAAACATTGATGGAAGGAGTGTAGAGTGGAATAACTGTTGTAAAATTAACTTTCCACTGTATCTCAAAGCTTGAAAAATGTGAACTCCATGTGATTCTGTAAATTGTCTTCTAGGAATTTCAAGGAAATAATTACTGTTTTGAGGTAAAACATTTTTACAAGGATCTTTATTTCTGTTATTTTTTATTTTTTAATTTGTACTTTTTTTATTTTAAAGAGAGTAGTAAATGAGAAACAAAGAAATAGAACAGTAGCAGCATACCAGTATCACAAACATAAACAAATCAAAGCAAGAACATTCAAAGTGATACAGTCTCAAGACAAAATAATACAAATCAGCAGTGGTTGTTACATTTCATATAGGCAGAAAATTTGAAAATAATAGCATCATAACTGGAGGTAGATTTTGCAAAAAAAAAAGGAGTTCTGAAAATGCAGGTAAAGCTTTTAAAAAAAAGAGTGTGATGGAATAGAACATGATTACTATTCAATATTTTTTAAAAGCAGGTACAAACAACAGTTAGGGACTAAAATATATTTAAAGCTAAAGATGCTTACTACAGTTTGCAATTGTTTATGCATGATGAGATTACTTTTGAATTTTGTTTCACATTTCAGAATTTTTTTGATTATTTTGTAAAAAGGAAATAATAAAAATTTGATTTTTAAGGAAAGAAAAATGAAAAACTACAAAGAGAATGGAAATAAAGGGAAGTAGAGAAGGCAATAAATGGAGCTTACTTGTAAGACACCCTGGAGCCAGAAAATTATTTTTACCTGTATATATTCTTGTATGTGGTATTTGACAGGTGTCATTGTTCCATTCTGTGGCCAAATAGCTAGAGTTCCAGAGAAAGCAGATTTTCATAGCTAATTACTAACGGGTTTATTCTACAACTTACTTCTAGTGGTTCCAGGTCCCTTGCTCCTTATTCTTGGTAAAGAAACACTGGGAAGAGGAAGAAAACTTACTTGGAAACTGTGACTTGATAACCCAGGCAAGACTTCAATGCAACATTATTTCCTCCCAGTACTGACCAAGAGGGGATACTAAATACTCACTAGAGTCTGTTCCTTTAGGTTTAGTGATCAATCCCTTATGTAGTAATTACCAAGTCCTAGGCACTGTTCTAAGTACAACTTGAGGATTAAAGCAATGAATCCTCATAGCAGCCCAGAGAAGTAGGCTGTATAACTGTGCCCGTTTTACACATGAGAAACAGAGGAAAAGACTAGCAACTGAGACTTGCCCAGGGTTACATAATTCATAAGTGACAAACGTAGGATTCAGATCCAGGCATTCTACCTCCAGAACGGGGGCTTCTAATCAATCATTGGTGTGCTGCTCTGAATGTTTAGAAAACCCTCGGAAGTGTCATGAGGAGAAGACCATTCATTTGTCAGTTACAATCCTCTGGAAACAGTTAGGCAATGTAAGGCAGCCCCTGCCTAAGAGGACAAAATACACAAAAGAGGACAATTTGAATTAGATGGAAGAGGCAGGATGATGAAAGCATAGAGATACTGAGGTTAGAGAGAACTTCAAAATGGCAATGGAAGATCATATACACTACACCCAAGATCTAAGTCCTCCATCAAGTCCCTATCAAACAGTGATGTCACAGTTTTTTTTTTTTTTTCTACTCCGGTACCGGGAACCGAACTCATGACCTTGCGCTTGCCAGGCAGGTGCTTTTGCTGCTGAGCTAAATCCCCAGCCCCAGATGTCACAGTTTATCTTAGAGATTTATGGTAAAAATCCCCTGCAAAGACTTCAGTATTCTCAGTTTTTATCTATGTTCCAATGAGCCCATATGGGTTATTGATCTGTTTAATATTTAAATGAATTATAGTGGGGCACCATGGTGAACACTCATAATCCCAGCATGCTGGAAAGCTGAGACAGGAGGATCACAAGTTTATATCCAGCCTGGGCAACTTAGCAACTTGGCAAGACACTGTTTCAAAAAAAAAATTTGGCTGTGAGATAATGGCTTAGTTGAAAGGAAGGCTACGTCCCTGAAGTAGATGCTGTTGATGCACTAGATGTACTCCCTTTGTTACTTTTTATTTCTTGTAGACTTGCAACTTTCTGCATGACATTTTCTCTAGCAGGATGAGCCCATGGATGGGTGAGTTGGAGGGAGTAAAAGAGAGGAAGTTCTTCAGCCAATGAGGCATAGCAGTTGATGGAGGAACACCTCAGTTGTCTTTGGCCAGGGTAACTACAGCAGTTTCTGATATTGTCACCTAGTGGGACTGAGTCCCAGTTGTCCACAGAAGTTACCTGCCATTAACAGCCTCTCCTGTATTGACCGCTTCTCCCACTTTCCTCCGCTTTCAACTCACTTTGGGATCATTCCTAGTGCACACGACTTGCTGTAGACTTTCTGTCACCCGTTGGCTTTTAGAGGAATTAAAACCAAGATGTAGCTAACCAAAGCCCACACATGTAAGTAGAAGTGTAGAACATCGCATATGGAGTAGAGTTCACTTAACTTTCTGAAACTAAAAAGATCTCCATGGAATCAAGACGCTCTCTATTGATTTGTACTCTATCATTCCCAGAAAGAATGAAATCTTTCAAAGTAAGCCTGAACCCAGGAAACATTGTGAAATGTATGGAAGTTATTAGGGAGAGAGAGTTTTTTTGTCACCCTCTTAAACTTTCTAGCCCTCCAATTTTCTAGTTTCCAGAGATGTGATTCCTAAGGAGGAAGAGAAGTGGAGGCTGGTTCATGGGACCAAGGCTACTTAGCAACCACTCTGGAGAAAGTGTTTGCATTGGCAAGGTCAATGAGATTAAGTGAGGGCCACTGGAATCCATAATGAGTGGTCTGGCCTGAGTATTTAGGCTGTGGTTCCAGAACTTTCTGGATGTTTCCATAGGATCATTGCTTTATATTCCCAGTGAGCTCCCCAGGCTTCTTCACCAAATTCAGCTTTAAGGACCCTTTTACATTTCTTTTCATCACTGTGGGGTCAGGCGCAACCCCAGAAAGAACTGGGCCAAAGGACAGCACCATAGTCTCTTACTGCTTTGTGGTTGTAGAATAACCAACAGAGTTACACTCTGTTATGTTCAAAATGGCGATGGACAGAAAATTACCAGATAAAGTACAACCAGGTGGGCTGTCAATTTAAGTTTTAGATACACAAGAAATCATCCAAAGGGTGTCCTATATGTTTACTAAATCTGGCACTCCTACAGAAATAGAAGCTTTCACACTCAGGAGCTCTCGTGGAGATTCATAAAATAAACGCTGGAAAAACTTGCTGAAATGGGCCA